TTGCGGGGAGTTGCACTAAGTCCCATAAGCAGTGGTATCTTCCAGCTAACAAAACTTTCAAGTACCATCTTACATTCGCTAAAACTCAGCATGCTTCGTGTGATGCCAATTGTACTAAACAAAATATTTCTTTTTCTCCCTTTGATGATGCATTGCTGAAATTTGAAAAGTTAAAATCTGTAATCATGTGGGTGAATAGAAACGACTCTGCGTGTCATTATGTTCTGAATGGAGATATGGTGAAAAGTAAAAAATGTACTTACAAATTTTATTGCCTTTGTCGCGGGAAAACTGGAAATGTCACCATTTCTTCAAAAACAGTACCAGACAGCGACAACAAAGGTACGTTTGTTGATTTTTATGTGTTATTTGTACATTTATCAAAGTAAAATTTATGTGAAAGAGTAAAATCCTTACGAAACTTTTCAATATCACAGCGTACACTCCTTGTCCGCTACAACTTCCGCTTGCGAGCGAGCAAAACGCAAAATATCGCCGATGATGTACTGACGATAAATAGATTCTTATTCAATAAAGACCAATCATGGAGGAATTTTTGCTTTTACAACTAGGAATTACATAAAAGTGATTATTTCTGACTTAAGCCCTACTGTAAAACTCTTCTTTTTTTAAAAAGAAATTACGATTCTCATCCGGATTCCTAAACAAATGTCCGCATTTGTTGACTTCGAACAACGATTTCAAGCTTTACATATAATATACGAGCAAATCCTCATGATACTTTGAAAATAATTATGTTAGCTTAAGAAAATTAAACAATATCTGGTTTTGGAAAAAAAATGACAAATAAATTATCATTGGTGTTGTTGCCTAACTCTACGGTTGCTTGCTAACTCATTGTAAGGTTGCTTGGGAGAACAAATAAAAATGTGTACGGTTGCTTGAGAGCCAGCTTTTTATAATTTCTCGTTAATTTATTTATTTCAGCTATTGTAAATTTTTTTACAAAATGTATCTAAAATTACATAAAACTGCGTTTATACATGTCAATGTTTTGAAAATGGGAAAATTCACCAACATTGTACAGCTAATTGATGTAATGATTTGCATTAGAGAACTGTACATATTTGTTTATGGAATGTCCATTTGCATAAATTCAAAGTGTGTGTTTTGTTTGTTTGTTTATTTTTTGGGTTTAATTTTTGACTGCTGTCAATGTTTACATAATGTGCTGTAAAAAACGAAGTTTGTGCCTGAAAGCCGCCATAGTCCAATAGTTAAATGGTCAGAAGTAAAGATATAGTTTATTTTGAACAATAAGCTGTGTATGAAATTTTCTTTTATCTGTGACATATATAAAATGTCACTAAAGGTTAATTCCAAAACGTAGGTAAATGCAACTGACATTTAATTGATTGATTGATTTTCTGTCTCATCAATGTACACACTGTAACAGTGGCTGGCATTCCTAAAGAAATGTCCGCAATTGTTGAAATTTGAATTATACAGTGAAATAATGCACTTTTAATCCAAATTGATGACTTGGTTACATATAAAATAAGACTGCATACATACATCATTTATCTACATGCCAACATTGAAATATGAGGCACATTCTTCAACATTTAAATTCAATATTACGACAGAGGTCCAATAAATGAAAACAACGAGTTATCAAATAAGAATCTACCTGTAGCAAAACTGAATAAAAGTATATTAATTCAAGCATTTTATACTAACATAATAAGTAAGTGTAAGTAAATGTGAATATTAAAATTATACTTGGAAAAGTTAATGTCAACTCAAGAAAATCAAGTCCCTTCTTAATATAGTCCTGCTAGTAGACCCTACCATCTATGCTAATTGAATTAATATATATAACCGTCAAATGTTGCTAAACCTGTTTTGCACTGATTCAGAGGAAAAATTATTCAACATTATTTCGATTACGTATGAGGGGAATTTGTTGCTACGATTTTAGCATGTGCATTTTGTACAGGTTCTTTAAACTATATGACACACGTTTACCAAAATCATAACTTTTTCAAAGGATCTTCGCGTGTTGTCCCCTTTCAAAATTCCGTTTTATTTAGTTCCGCCCAATTTTCTCGTTTAGGGCACTCGCTTTTTACTACTTGGGGACCATACGCCGCTTTTCATAGAATGGCACGGAAGTGTCACATTGAAGGTTCCATGATAACCGCCGTATGAACACATCTGAGGATGTTTCTAAATTCAAAATTTTACTATTTCATGTTTAAATGTTGAATTCTGCTTCAGCCGGTGCTAAGGGGCGTGGACGTGGGCGTGGACTTTCAAGTACCGTCCATGATTAGGCTCAATCAAACCGAGCCTGCAACATTTTCAATTTTGTCGTGTTGGGCTTTCTTTAGGGATTCTGTATTTATCTATTTTGTTGAAAAATATTTTAATAGTGGACACTTTTTATTCATAATAATTATAATAATTGTTTACAAGTTTTCTTTCAAACAAGTCGTCTAGTGATCAAAAAAAAGCAAACAATATTGCAAGCGACCCTACAGTGACCTCGCTAGCAACCGGACGACTTGTTTTTCAGATTATGCAAGCAACCGTACAGTGAGAAAACCTCAACGGTAGCAATTTCAGTAACGAAGATGTTCTCTTCAAATATTCCCTGATTTTCTGTTACATTGATAGTTATTCTTTAAAGGGTCAAGATTTGCACGGATATTACATGTAAATATTCTAAGTTGTTGCTTTAAGACGACAGAATATATTTTTGAGAAATCAAAGAGAGAAATCGTAATGTTTTAAAAAAAATAGGTTTTGCCACACACAAAAAACACCGGGCCGGAAAAAAATTTGATTCGTGTAAGACCCGCTGATTAGAAATAAAAAAAATGTTCAATTATCTATCTTAAATGGTAACTGAACTTTTTTACCTTAAGTCTACCGTCGCGTCGCTCGCTAGCGGAAGTTGTAGCGGGCACTGGAGTGTACACTACATGAGAATATGTTACAAAGGAATAACAACACACTTTGCTTACTGTCCGGTGTAAAATAGATATCCCTATTTTGACCGCACAACTGTTTGTTGTCATCTTAATGTTGCTACATTCTTGCTCTTATAAGAAAATTTATTATTCAATACTTTATCATTTCAAATTAAATACTGATGTAAGACGATGTAAGAGACTTTGTATTAATTATTATCTGCTATGAATTGGCACAATCGTTATGCAGATCCTAACAAATATGATGTTTGTAATAAACAAGGTAATTACTTAAATCTTGGCGACCATTTTTGATGTTGACTGATTAGCTTTTCTTTAAGATATAGATTGTTCAGTTCTGTACACATATAGCTTTCAAATGTGACTTAATATACTACAAGATTCAGTTTTGTTACAACGATTATGCTACAGTGATTCGTCTCTTTATGTGTTTAGTTAATGGCGTTTGTTATATCTTTATCACTATCAAAAGTATGAACATAAATTAACTAAAACAGTGGCAAATTAAATTTAAAATTGAAGTTTATGTTAAATATCTATGGTTAAGAAATATAGTGTTACATGGATTTCAACATTTATTTTATTCGGGGGTGTTCAAATATGAATGCAACAAGGCCAATATCTCGCTTTTAACCAAGTGTTACACGAACTATGCACATGTATCGCATAGATTGTTGTGTAAGCTCTCAATTGATACAATACATGTGTAAATCAGTTCAGTCTAGCTTTGACATTAGCTCGTTTAACGCTATCCACTCGTGAATACTAAAGCTAAAATGGTTGGGAAAAGGTCACCTTTCACTGACCAAATACGGTCCCATACAAAGAACCGCTGTATTCTTGGTATACAGGCGAAAAACATATTTAATGAAATATGTCGTGTTTATGGGAATAATGAACTTTCGTTTTCATATGTCACACGGTGGTGTAATAAATTTAAAATTGGTGTGATTAGTAAAAGTTGCACCTCATGCACACCGTCCGAAGACTGCAACTTCGCCAGAAATGATTGAAAAAGTAAAGGATTTGATTGCTACTGATGTAAGATTTACAACTATGCATATAGATAAATGCGTTGATATCTCTGTAGGAGTTGGTCATGTTATTCTCTGATGTGATTTAAAAATGAGAAGGATAAGTGCCAGATGAATTCCCCATCTCTTTACATAAGAGCAAAAGCCTGCTCGGGTAAGAATCTCCAAACAACTTTTAAACAGTTCCCTAAATACAACAATCGATCTTTTGCAAAATTCATCATTGGCGAGGAGTGGGTTAACTTTTATTGGTCCAAGAGAAAGATACATAACAAAATATGGGTAACCAAAGGAAGTAAGAGACCTTGCATAGCTATTCAAATTGTCGTACCAAAGGGTAAATCTGTAAATGCCAAGTTTTACAAAGGCAAGGTCCTTCATAAATTAAGAAATATTTCAAAAATCGTCGACCAGCAATGGTCGACATGGTGCCAGGTTGTTGCATAAAAATGCTTCGTCACACAAAGCGGCCATTGAACAAGAATATCAGAAACAAGAAAAGGTTGTCGAGCTTCCTCACCCTCCTTATTCGCCAGAGCTTGCCCCTTGTGACTTTTTCCTTTTTCCGAGGCTCAAAAAACACCTTGCTGGAAGAAAATATCAAACGCGAAAAAATCTCGGTTCGGCTATTTTCCAGTGTCTGAATAGTATACCTCGAAAAGATAATGAAAACGCATTGAAAAATTGGATTAAAATACCAAAACTTAATATATCACATGGTGATGAGTATCTCGAAGGATTGGGATAGTTTATATGCACTTCTGAAAATTGACCCAGTTGCATTCATATTTGAATATCCCTCGTATCTAGGTATATTGCAATATCGCCAACCTTGTATATAAAGGCAGATTGCTCATTGTGTATATTTAGGCAGACTACTGTGTAACAGTTAAAAGTTTCAGATTTTTTCAATTTTATTATGCACCTGTATTTTTAAGTGAAACATGTCATGCTTTAATGTAGCCTTAAGCATATCGCACACTTTCATCATCTTTTGTTTTCAAGAAAACTGTTCCAAAACACCACGCATCATGAATTTCACCTATGAACATCTCAACATGTCTGTAACAGACAAGAAAACAGAATATGACAATTGTTCCTTATTATGTGGGAGGTCGGGGTCCGTTGTTGCTCGAGTAAATGACAGTACTCTTCAACAGCGTCAGTTTGATAAAATACAAAATGTGAAGCTATGGGTAAATAACTCTGACAGCCATGTAATGTCAAGGCGGTGCCATATATCGAACCATGAATACATGTTAGAGATGAGTAATTGCAGTCGAAAGTTTAAATGTCTTTGCCAGAAAGAAGGTTACAGCGCAGGATCTGAAGAAAACAAAACTAATCCAAATAAAAATAACATATCAGGTAATCTTTTTAACAAAAAATGATTAACTTCTAAAACATTCCTTGCTTTGTCGACATTTGATATTCTCGTCATGTTTGTTGAAGTGATCTGAGGTTATTTTATCTTCTATCGAATATATGGTATATAAAAAAACATAAAAACATTTAATTCAATACAAATAGTAGACAATTTTTCAGGATAATCAGTAGAATTTTAGAATAAGTGTCATTATGCTCATCTTTTTATTAGATTTAATTTTTGTTGTCAAGATGAATTAAATAAATATTTCAAAAGATTGACTATTCTAATAGAGATTGACCAATAATTGGTGTTTAGAAATGTTAAGTATTGAATTTAAAAATTGTCTTAGCTAAAGAAGCACTGTCCCATTCTTTTCATCCACTGCGTGTGCAAAGTAAGTTATTGAATATTTACTAAAAGAAAAATATAAATGTGGCAAAATGTAAACTTATTTTTACCTTTACCTTAACTCTCAACATTCACACTTTAATGGAACTTTGGTTTGCATTACAGAATTTAGCTGGGTCGTAGGTGGTGACAGGCAGTTCTTTGTCTACAACGTTAACCTAACTTTTCGAAACGCTGCTGAAAACTGCAAGAAGCTTGAGGCTGCAATCGTCTCTTTTTCTAACCCTAGCGAGTACATATTGTTACCAAGGAACAAACCTCTAAGAGGAAAATATTGGGTTGGAGGTAAAACAGACTCACATTCATTTTTTGATTCATATTTTCTTTTCAGTATGTAAGGCCCTTGTTGTATATAACATTGTTATAAGTACACGGAGTATTTGAATGCGCTACATACTTATTGAACACATTACCAATTTTCTCATGTTTTTACCATTTAAATTTTAAATTTTATATAACATTTTAAGAGAAAGTGTTTTCAAATGGCAAATTTTGATATAAGGAGATCCATCATATTTTAAGATGGGTTTTTTAATGGCAATTCATCATATCTATTCAACATCAAAATATGTTTATGCTTCGTTTATTTGTAGTTGTTTAGTTTGGTCCGTTGATAAGCTGCTTTTCTAGGCTCTAGAATAATTAAAATATCATAGCGTGGGAAGACCTTTTTTGTCATTGTAAGAGAAAAAAAAGCAGACAATAAATTCATAATTTTAATAAATGTTCAGAATTTATATATTTAGACCCTATTTTAATGCAAATTAATGGTAAATATATTTACAGAATGTTCAAAGCCTACAAACAACAAGTGTCTGACGTTAGAGGTCGTTGAGGTCGGAGGTCATACATCCCTCTATTCCACATTGTCTGAGGTGAAACAATACAGTATATGTAGCCGGGTCGCCAATGCATCGGAAGTCTTGAACCATCCTTCTTTTGTTAAAATGATTAAAAATATGACCATCGATACTCACCAGACGACAAAAATGGCGCGAAAATTAAATTGCGCGCGAGATGAAAGAACCTCAGCGAAAGCCATCGGAGCTATCGTCGGAACAGGTGTTATTGCAGTCGTCGGAAGTTTGTTAGTTTTAAGTGACATACGACGCATATATTATTTCATTGTCAGACGGATGTAAGTTCAGGACCCGGTTGGAGTATTTAGACATGACGGGACGGCAAATATTTTTTTTTCAATATTCATGTACCATTGATGAAGATCTTATTTGTGTGCAAAATTTAGATCGTTCGCTCACTCCGTTTTTCCGTTATGGTTTGATTGCGACAAATGACCAAATTAGAAATCCATTGTACTCAAATGTGGCTAATAACCAATCGGTAGATTTATAATTTGATATATATTTCCTGGTGTCAAGTTGCATTTTTGAATTATCCTTCAAGAACAAAATCAATCAAACCGAGTCGGGTCTGATTTTTTTCATCTTATATTCAATTTGTTAGTTTCCTTTGCTTCCGAGGGATCACCCCTTTTCCAGATTTTTATTTCATTCAGGCAACATAACATGACAATGGGAGGATTGTTCAAACCAGGTTGGGGTTGTTATTCATGCGCCAAAATTTACAAAAAGTAAACCATAGATCAAATCTTACTTTCTGATAATTTAAGTAATAATTTTATTAGTCAATTATGTTTTTACTTTCTTCTTTTCTTAACAAATGTAAACGTCACAGTTTGGACAGTCTTATCCATATATGCATGAATATATATGTATAGGGATCTTTTAGATACCTTTTTTAGAATGCAGCAATGCTTTTGCTATTAAAACAAATTTGTCTTTGGAAGTGTTAATTTCGTTAGATAAATTTATTGTGCGGTAAAATAATTACTTTTTATACACATTCTATTCAATTCAATTTTCAATTTCAATTTTTTACAAAATGCACAAGTCCCACAATAGCGGGAAACATCAGCAGTATACATACATGAACATATACAAATACATAATGGAAAACGGCTATATTACATTCTTAGGATGATAGTAATATAAAGTTACAAACACAACAACTGACAAACATTCATATATTTACAAAGGCACAAATTAAAGAGCTATCTTTATGAACGTTAAAACATTTCTGGAAAAATAAATATAATAATGAGTTTTGTAATGCTCCTGTATTTTGTCAACACCTGTCAAAAATACATATCTTTGTCATTTTATTTTGTTATTTTATCTTTTTATTACTGATATACATAATTCTCATACCATGCACTTTCAGTTTTGTTTCCTTGAACAGGATTTACATCTGCTCCAGTTAATATCTGCTAATATCACTAAACCAACACAACCACAAATGAATAGGATTCCTACGGCGCCAACAAACTTAGTACTCAATCTGTTATCTTGAACGGAAATTAATTTCCGCTGTGCTTTATTCGTCATTTTAGCATTAACCGTCATATTGTTCAACAGTTTTACAAATTCTGCATTTTCTTTTATCATTGTGGCATTGGCAATACGGCCGCATATAAATGAGTTTCTGGATTCACAGGGTTCAATTCTTAGACTGCGACTATTGTGAACCATAGAGAAACAAACACATTTGTCTCCAAGAGCACCTGTTAAAATATAAATGAGTTATATCTGAGAACGCTAAATCTTATGTTAAACAGTATAGATAGTTCCTAATTTTTACAATATTTACCTCCCTTGCCAAAAGTGGCAGCCATTTTGGGGATCAAAGTTCTATATAATATAAGGGACAAAATAGTGCAAAATTAATATAAACCGATGATTAACAGGGATTGTTAGTTTCTTTAATACATATGTTACAAACTGTTAATGTAGCACCAATATGTAAAATATTTTTATCAGTTTTTATGAAGATGATAGAAATTAAGCATAATTATGATATATTTGTAATGACCCCCAAAATGGCGACCAGGGGAGGTAATAATTACTATATAATAAGCAACTATGGTATTTTCATATATTATTCCTTCACATACTTTAGATGAAAGCGTTTAGAATTGATCATGTTTTCAGATTATTTTTGGCATTAAAGCTACATACATCCAGATGAGCAAAAAAATAAAGAAAGAAAATCAACTTTGAAAACAATGTACTAGGATTTTAAAAAAAGTAAAAATATTCACAATTTAAGTAATGATTTACATGTTATATGCAATAAATGGCTGATTTTTTAGTATGTATCCCCATATTTCTGCTGCGTGAGTAACGCAGTAACGGTAATTTTTTCGTATTTTGACCTTTATTTTTGGTAATTTACGTAGATTAAAAGCTTGCAATCTGTTGATTATTTTCTTTGTTCACTTGAAAATATTTTACTTTTAATAATATTTTGATAATCTTAATGAAAATTAGCATGAATCTTGATGCATGCTTCTTTAAATTGAACAAGGCATCCTTGTAAATAATTATTAAATACTTTAACACTGCCGTTGTAAAATATAATATGGTACTTTCATACTTTAGTTACATTCAATAACGTTCTATCATAAATGACAGGATATACAACAGTGTCTTTTTAGGGAAAATAGGTAAGATATTGCAGGTATTGTATTTTTCCCTGCTTGGTGTTTACGTTTAAGTCATATGGCGACTTTTCAGCTTTACTGGTGGATAAAGAAGCCCTCAGATGCCCTTCCGTGCATTATTTCAGGAACGAACGGCCACCTGAGTAGAACCACCCACGGGGTTCCGTAAGCTAGCACATAAAAGAATCCTGTCGGGATTCGAACTCACAGCAGTGAGGGGCAATCTGTTTGAAGCCAAAGACATTGACCATTCAGCCACGGACGCCAGATATTGTATGAAAATGCCAAACATAAACTTTTCAAGCGCACTCAAGACCTTATTTTTTCAATATGAATTATATGATTCCAATAGATATAGACTTTGTCATACCACCGGTGACCTAAATGTCTACCTCTAAACTCAGGGATCATGAGTTCGAGCTCTACTCGGTCACGACATTGTCATAATGTTACCAGTACAGATATGTTCAAAAAAGAAAACAAGAAAATGACTGATATACCAGTAAGTTGCAATGACGTATTTGAAATACATCTAAGATAAGCACATCAAATTTAAAGTAAAACAATATTTCCAGATAACTTTATGTGGAAATAAATATGAAAAAATTATTGACATAAATATTAATTAAATTTATGATAATTAATTTTTCACATATTTTACACTTACTTCCAATCCAGTATGTCGTATCAGTCAGTCTCAGAACGTTGCTCAAGTTGAAATATTGTAGAGGGTTTGTATACGACAAAAGGCTTGCACTTAATGTAATGCAATGTTTGACTGCCATATCATATTCAATCGGTGTTTCCACAACACAGACTTGTTTATCACCTATCGACACCCAATCTTTAATGTGAGCAAAACAAATACAATTTTAGAGGTACTCGTTCATTATTTGTTTTTACATATAACCCTAAATCTACTGAATTTATGTCATGAATTTAAATTTGGAACAGGCCTTTCAATGAATGTTTAAAGGCCAATAATGCCTCAGAAATGCTGTCAATTTTATTACTTAAAATCAGTTTTCAAAAATACTCATAGCCATTTAAATGAGTTATCTTCCGCTACTTCTGCTCTGTTTGCAATCAGAATAATAATAGTGTATTAGTATTATGTATGAAAGCTATAAAACAGACATGAGACCCAACACGCTGTAAGATATGAATTACTTTAAGACACATTAAGCCTTAATATGATTTCAGCCTCGCCATAACAAAACCAACATAATACGTTTGCGACCAGCATGGAGCCAAACCAGCCTGTGCATCCGCGCAGTCTGATCAGGATTTTACAACCCTATAACAAGTAGAGGAACTGATAGCGAACAGTATGGATTCTGGTCAGACTGCGCGGATTTTTATTTCTGACACCTATTACAGTTTCCAAAATGTTACTAATTGGCCGTGTATATGACCAATTTTTTAGTGATTTAGTATTTTGTATGAAAGTCATACTTTGTTTACATTTTGTTAGCTTTAGGGCAAATCATTGCACATTCAGTGCTTCTGTCCTTAATTGTTAATATTTATTATGCTCTAAATTCATCGTTAATAAATAACTAAACACATGTTTGACCTTTCCAAAGAATTGAAACAAAATGACGGAAAGAGTTTTCAAAAAAGATTTACCAACTTCCTTCTCAATCCGTAAATTTTCTTTTTATGTACTTTATTATGTAAATGTGTGGATTGTAAATAAAATATTGTTTAAACTAAAATGAAATATGTATATTGTGCCTTGAATGTAGTTCATTATCAAAAATAGAAAAAAAAAACTGTTTGTTTGTTTGTTTCATTTTACGCCTTTTTGCAACAGTATTTCAGTCATATAGGCGGGTAGTTTCTTAACCATTGTTCCTGGAGAGTTACACCAGTACTTGACTACCTTCCTCCGCGCTAAACTACCAAAGTATCTCCCGGGGATCGAACCCACGCCGGAGAGGTAACTAGATTACCACTCGACCACGGAGGCTGACTGCACGAACAAATGAAATAGCATAAAAATATTAATGTTTATCCAGCACTGCTAATTTAATTGTGTAATTGCCAGGAAAAAAATGTATTCAAGATGCATTTACCAGTAAAATGTTTAATTCATTCACTGATTTTTTTTATTTGAACTAAATAAGCAAGGTCGAAACGTGATATGTGCTGGATAAATCAAACTATTTTGTAAATGAAAATGTTGAAATTACCATTTATTTAAATAAGCAAGGTCGAAACATGCTATAATGGATAAATCAAAATTATTTTATAAATGATTATGTATTATTGATAGCAAGTAATGTATTTATTGAACAATTACCATTCGCTGTTGTTGCTGATGTTGCGGCAGACAACATTTTACCGGAAGTAGATTCTGTAACTGTGTCTGACGTAGAAGATGACGTCAGTTTTGCAATTGATGTCGTCTTTACTTAAAATAAATGTGAGCTTTAGTGAGTGAGAACTATATATTATACTCAAATTTGATATGTTAAAGGAACTCCACTGAGGTCTAAAAAAATGAATTTCTTACATAGATCAGCTGGGACACTAAAGACTGAAGATTTGAAAGAAATAGTTAAGGAATATACATACTCTGAATAACAACGAAAATCGTAATTTTGTTTCAATTCTTAGCCAATTTGAGTAAAAAGCATTACAACTCTTTTCAATTTTGGATCATTTTTCACAATTTAGATAATTGTTCCTGAAAAACGGAGTGAGCAAATAATCTGAAATTTTGGACACAAGTTATCGGTCTACCCCTTTATCAAATTAAACATTAATCTCGAAAATTCATTTTCAGTCCTGTCATGTCATAAACCCTCAGTGGAGTTCCTTTAAGATACGGATAATTCCTATACAGTACTTATGGATAAACAAAATACACTATAGAATAAATACATAGTGTCATTAAAAAAGCAGTTTTTAGAGAAAGTACCAAATTAACTTAACAATTAATAGGGAATCTATTTTTCCAAACATAATTTGTGCATTTTCTTACTCTCAGGCATATTCAGTAAGAATTTTCCTAGATTTCAATGAATTTCTGGAATAAAAGTATTTTACATAGAGATAAGGAGCATAGAGTAGCATTAAAGTAATTCTATAATTAGATTTTACTATTTAAGGGTCATCTTTAAGTAATCATAAAGCATGATTGAAAAAAAAAGCATTTAAATGTATTATATTGTTTTGTATCGTATTACATATAGGGCAAAAATCTTTTGTCAGGACAATATCTGAAAATACCTTGGTATAAGCAGCCTTGATAGTTTGAAGTTGTTGGAGTTATTCCACTCTCAAGGCACCGAAATCCGTCCAGGACATCTATACACGTCGCTTTGTTGTTACAAGGATTCGAGAGGCACTCATTAATACCTTAGTAATTGAAAAAAAACATGCATTAACAAATTATTCAATAGTTGAAGAACATTCATACATAATCCAGAAATATATAGACATATTTTGAACAGGTAAGTGATTTTACTTTGTACAGTATTACTGGCATAAAGGGTCACCTTAGTAGAACCATCGACGTTCCGAACGCTACCTATATCTGAGCCGCGTCACGACAAAACCAACATAATGGGTTTGCGATCAGCATGGATCCAGACCAGCCTGCGCATCCGCGCAGTCTGATCAGGATCCATGCTGTTCGCTATCAGTTTCTCTACTTGTAATAGGGAATTTGTAAGCAAACAGCATGAATTCTGATCAAACTGCGCGGATGCGCAGGCTGGTCTGGATCCATGCTGGTCGCAAACGCATTACGTTGGTTTTGTCATGACGCGGCTCAATTATGTATAATACAACGACGCTTACGGGGCTCGAACCTACATAAGTGCGAGGCAAATGTTTGAACTACCCAGCCAATGAAAACTGATGAACATTTAGGAACCGGGTATTCATCAAGATTATCAACATCTATTTTAGTTACGCTGACTGTACTACTTTTTATTCGCAACGAGTATAAAGTGAACAACAGAAGTTATAAATACCTTTGTCCTCGTCGCAGAAACCACCTGACCATTTGCTATTGCAGTCACAAGAGTATTTTTGCGGTCTGTCTTTGAAGACTTTGAAACAGTGTGGGCCAAATGAACAATAATGTAAATGGCATGCTATAAGATAATAGAGAATCGTACTAATAAGTAACACATATTACAACATTTTGCAAACACAATTACATTTTTTTCACGACAATGAATATCTTAAAGATAATTTGTTCCGAGGACTGTTACCAAGCTAAAAATCTTAAATAGACTTGCCCATCTTTTCAATCTGAACATAACCATTAATCATTTTTCGGGAAAATTTCAAAATATTTTTTCGACTGAATAGCAAACACAGATGTGCCGACTGACTCGGTCTACATGGCTTTATGGGTAGAATTTGATGCTGACAGCAGACTTAATGTAAATGAAGCTTGACAGCATCAAGTCAAATTATCTTTATTATCAATATCATCATTATCAATATCGTCTTTATCAATACAATCATTATCAACATCATTAATATCAAAATCATTATTGTCAGTATTATCATTATGAATATCAACATTATCAATATCATCATTATCAATACTGCTTTCTTTATTTTCGTCATATTCAGTAACTTATCCTCACAATTCACATTATAATACCATTGTGTGTGTTGACGTTTGAAACTTTTAAAACTTTTTTCTAAGCTATACTTGTGTTGCTGGTGGTTTTACAGCTGCTGCCTGCTGTAAAGAGAATAAAAAATATCTAGAAAAATATACATACAGCCAGTAGTATATACTGATACGCTATCAGGTCCTCCACATTTCTCACATCTATTTCCAGGACATTCTGTATGACAAGCAACACTTCTTACCGCTGGTTGCAGACTGTTTCCACAAGAACACACAAAACCATTCTGTTACGTTGATAATGAAAAAAATGGATACCATTTATTGAAATATATTATCGAAAGCTCTCTTTTCTTAATTTCATTTGTTACATATAGAATCGGAGGGAAGCTGGTTCAATCCTCCGGCGAAGCCACATTGCTCCGTGACAACTGATCTTGGAAATTTAGGAAATTGACTCTAAAGGTCATTTGTCTCTCACCCCTGGATCATAAATCGTAAAGGATTAGTAGTGACCGAGCAGAGAAATTGGTAATGACTGGTTAGTTACCTAGACGGATACACCGCCGAGATATAACCAACGCACATATAACCAAAATATTTTTTTTAAAATGGCGTAAAAACAAAGCATCATAAAAAGTATTGTCATAAAAAGCTTTTTTAGGATAAATAATAAAATAATTTTAACAATGACCCGGTGTTCACAGTTTATATTACCCTTAACCGGTTAAATACATATTTACAAATGACGAGGATTTTATGATTCTTATTGAAAAGTATGACATTCACATAATTCATATAAAATGGTATGATATTTAATATTGAATGGTATAATCTGCATATAAAATGGTATGATATGCATATAAAATGGTATGATATTCATATAAAATGGTAGGATATTCGTATAATTCCTATAAAATGGTATGATATTAATGTGAAATGTTACGATATTAATATAAAATGGTAAGATATTCATAAAATATCGTATGATGTTCGTATAAAATGGTATACTGAAAAAGACAACGTTTTTGTCATCGTATTTTATATAATGATGTTTGAATACAAATTAAAACTGACCTTTGTTCCAGCATACATATAGTTACTAACTTGACAGTATGCTTTGCACGCATTTCCCGTATTGTCCTTAAAATTTATTTTCTGACCCCCTTGCATGATTCCATTTTGGTCCTCAAAGCACCCAATATACCCTGATGGTGTGTCCGTATAAACGACTGAAAAGTATAACAAATAAACATACGTGCATTTTGATAGAAGTTGTTAAAAATGCTAAAGTGAAAAAATGTTGTTTTTTTCCAGAAAGTGATCCTGTGTTGGTAAGTAAGAGATACATGGTCCACTATTGCGAATCTATATATTGCAGATTATGAATTGTTGTAAAACAAAATATTATTGTCCATCATATAAATGTTCATATTGAATCATTAAGAACTTTTATCAACGTTTTGTCCAAAGTAGACCAATCCACTTTAATAACAAATAAACAAAACGTATTGTATTCATTCAATTTTACCGAAACTCTTTTATTTTAGTACAATAATTGCGATTTATTGGTCAAGTCATGGAAGGTACAAGTGAAAATCTACCTTCAGAATAAATGAAACCGTTATTTTTTTTTATTTATTCTACTTATAAAATGAGATGACTTTAAAATAACAGGTTGAATAAAAGTTGGAACGTACTTTCAGAAAAGCTTGAGCCACGTAAAATGGCAAGTAAAGTAAAATAATTTAATATATTCCTAATATCCATGTTTGATCCAAAAACTTTAGCATAGTGAGTCAATGTTCCACTTGCCTTTTGCTGTCATTTTATTTCTAAGCTTTTATAAAGTATGATAGATATTTCTTCGTTTACTTCAGTTTTTTTCAGTATTGTCATTATTTACCGCATATGAATTTATCCTGAGGGTAATAAACTCTTTTATTTCATTAAATGATACAAAGGGTGAATTTGACAAATATTCAAATATTTGAACATCGCGTTTGATCATGGATGTCTAATTTTCAGGACTCTTTTCTCGATAGATCGTTACTTGACCACAGTTAATTAGATTTAATGTCAACAAAATTAATTTTTGTTTATACCTGGACCAACACTCGTTTACTTTGTTCCTAAATAATCGTAAAATTGATAAGGTTTAGTACTTGAATACAGGCATGATGAATTTGTAGCAGCCAAGGATATAGGTGAAAATGTTCATTTTAAAGATAAGAAAAAAAAGTTTAATATTGATACATATTTGCCTGATTGTATTTTCAACGTTCCAAATTATGGCTTATTTTGTGATATTTGAGATAACTTTCCTGTTTTAGACGTTCTTTAATCTTTTATGTCGTTTATAGAAAATGAAAATACAACAAAAACACATTTTATATGATAATGATGATTATTGCCTATGTCTCGCAATAATGTACCAAATGTATTCAAAACAGATGTTTAAAACCACTGGTTCACATGTACAGTCATTATGATAAAAGAGCATCCGAAAAAGCAGTCGAGATATGATATTTTTTGTGTGCCTGTTTTTATGTTTTTCTTTTAAAGGGCATTGTTTTAAACGGACTTTTTAATAAGACTGAAAACAGACCCTGACTTTTCGATTTTGATGTATTGATGTATATTTTTACATGTATTCTAATATTATGCTCAGTTTTGATACATAACATACCTTATATTTTCATACATATTGTTCAGTTTCCACATTTTTGTATTTAATAACTTTTACTTTTTGTATTGAATCTATTTTTGTTGGAAAAAGTATTATTGCCAATAGGTGACATGTGGCTGCTAAGGAATAATTAACAAGTTTCATTAAAATACAAAAGGTAGTTATTAAGTGGTCTTGATTTCTTGATAAGTATACTGCTCCAATTTATATTAAAACAAAATCTATAAAATCTTGGCAACCACATTTGATTTCAACGGTAATCATTAAATTTTTATAAAAAACAACGCTTTTCAATTTTGGATCATTTTTCACAATAAGAATAATTATCCTGGAAAAACAGAGAGAGCGAATGATCTGAAGTTTTCGCACAAAAATTATTTTGTCTAGACCTACACCAAATGGCACATTAATCTCGAAAAATTATTTCCAGTCCCGTCATGTTAAAAACCCTCAGTGGAGTCCCTTTAAAGTATAGTTATGGGGTTTATCTTGGCTAATGCAATTAAGCTCGGACACGGAAATTAAAAGATTTATTCACTGACGTTAGTCAATTATTGTGATTAAATTAAAAGTCTGGTCAGGGCAGTAAATGTTTCTTATCATACATATATATCATTAATATATAGGTCTCTTTTTTGCAACACAACGGGAGAAATTGTGTTGATTTTACTCACTCAAGAGATGCGCTCGAAAATGAAAATTTTATTGTTGTTGACGGTGGTATTCGCTTTTTTGGAGCTGCGCGTGAAATGCGGTAATTATGTTTAATTTAATCTTTTTGGTCAACGAAGAGTTTGTTGCTTCAAAATTATACAATTAAAATGAAATTATAGTGTCGATTTTAATCTTCAAATTTAAGATTCAAAGGAGTATAGTAAAACTGTTTAAACTTACTTTTTTGTCTTAGTTGAATGTTAGAGTAAAACGTTTGGATGTATGTATTGTTTTTGATATTTTTTCTCCTCATAATTCTAAAATTAAAACTAAAACTAAATTTGTTACTGGTAACGAAACGATACTTTTAGCTAATTCTAACGCAAAAATGTAAAAGTTTTTAATTATTTATCTTAGTATTTGAAATTATCTTTTGCCCAACATAAATGCAGTATTTCAAATGAATCTTAGTACATATACTTTGATAAATCGGTTATTTTATCAGTCTAGTAAATTGACAGGTTTTTAGAAAACATAATTTTCAAACACTAAATTGGTAAATGATTTTAGTAAGAATTTACAAATTCAATTTTTCGAATGGCGCGCGCCTTTCTTGATTAATTTCATTTAGTAAATGCTTAGCAATAAACACTAGCCTAAACTTAGGCTATCTATAATTATTTTAGCGAATATCAGTTTATTGCGACTAATACATAAAAACAGATATCAATTTATTCTAGCAAAGGCGCTCTCCATGTTTACACCATCTGGATACATCGGATGTTTCTTCAGCTATCCTGGGTTTCTAAATTCGATCCATTACAAACGCCTATCTGCTTCGTTTAACAACACCGGAACTGAGTGCAAGGACCGTTGTAAGGCTGAAGGTTTCAGATACGCAGGAACTGTGGTGAGAACTTAATCATATTACAATCACAACTTTTCGGCCATTTCCGTCAAATTTTGTGTTATGTAGTTTCGTAATCGGCGAGGTGTCCCGAATTTGTAATGTCAAGTTTGATTTTTCCCATTACTTTAGCGTCGTTTTCTGTTATGCTTTAGTGAAATATTTGCTCAGGTTTATCCCGATAACGTAGGCACAAAAGTGCGACGTAATGCAATGAAAACACCATGAAAATGTTTGAGAAAGAGAGAGAGAAAAGAAAAGAACTTCATACAAAATACATACGTCATTGTTTACTGTTTTCTTTAATTCAGGCAAGTATCAACTGTTTCTGTGGAAATGGGATACATTCACTAAAACCGGCTACCAATTGCAACGAAACATGTCCCGGAAACTTAAAAGAGTACTGCGGAGGAAGCTGGGATATGTCTTTGTATAGACTATGGCGTAAGAGTTTACATTTCGAATAAACTTAAAGGCACATTATGCCTCAGAAAATAATATTTTTTTCTATTTCTTCATAAAAGGCAAGCATGAACTTTAAAGCGTTTAAATAATGGTGTTATGGCATGTTAGGTGCTTATACTATCTGAAGAAAGGGGCGTTAAATGTGAAATAATCTGTCATGAAATAACAAAATGTAAACAAAGTAGTATTTTTTACTTCCTTACAAAATACTTAATCACTTTAATTTTGCTAATTGCCAAAACACAACAGAAGAAAAAGATTGTTCAGGTAATTTGCCAATTAATAGATGAATAACGTTTCGAAAACAAGAACAGTACACAAAAAAAAAGTTGTTTTTTTTTAAGAAATAAAAATAAAAGCATTTCTGAAGCAAAATGGACTAAAATAAATTGTAAGAATGTTAACATGACCGTATTCTGTGATTGAAGCTGACCTTTGATTGAATCTAAATTACTTTTGCAAAGTACCCATTTTTTGTCATATGCCTAAATAAATTTCACTTTTTTCGCATTCCGTTTCTAAATATATCGTGTATACATTTATACGTATATGCTTACCATAAATACGGAAAAGCGTGTGAATTATTTCAATTACATATTCATAATTGCTTAATATTTTATCTTCAGAATCAGCTGCTAATAAGTGGGTAACATCGGGGGCCGGTAGACCTGTTTACTTTATCCGGAATGCCAAGATGGATCATGGCAGCTGCAATGCATTCTGCAACCTTCTCACACCAAAGTCTCAAGTTGCTGTGTTAGATAAAGATGCTGAACTTTGGCTAGAGAACAACAAACTGACCGAAGCTTCTGAAAACTACTGGATTAACAAGACGGTGAATATTTTTCTTGAATTTAAGTCACATCGATGTTTCTAAAATTCATATGTACACAGAGCTATCGAAGTTTTAGCTTTATTGCTTGAAACAGGTATGTACGCTCCTCATGCATTATATAAAGAAAGAAATTCGAAGTACAAATATTGCAGTAGACAGAGTAAATTAAAAAAGTTAATTATTTTACGAATTTTAAATTTCGACTGAAAATTGTTCATTCATGCTGACTCTGTTGTAAGTGTAATAAATAATAGAATAAAGCCGACAACTTTCCATCCCTTTCTATCCCATCAATATAATTTAGCTTTCTCGTTTCATAGGACCGGGTACCAGGTGCGTGTTACTATATAGCTGGAACAAGTCAACCAAATGACACGCGTTGCCATGGATACAAACAGTCTTGCAGAAACGCCATGTTAAAATCACGTGTTGTCAAAGCTTCGAAATGCACTTCTAAGTACCGTTGTATCTGCCAACGTCGTGTATAGAGAAACAACTGTGCTGGGTTAATTCTACAAACATTTGGCTTTTATGAAATATTCCAAATAACATGTACCTTAAAACTTCTACTTCGAGATTTCGCAAGAGATATTTTCTCTGATTTAAAAAACGAGAATGACATACCAATCATCTTGGATTCTCATTCAAACAATTTCATTTACAGTAAAAGATTTCCCGTTTCATTTTTTATCGCAGGTAATATTTGATATGCTTATAAACATATAGTAACTTTCTTTGTGTTTTCATTTCTATTTGTTTGTCTGACAACATATTAATAGACAATATGTTTTCAGTTTTAAAGGCCTTTTATGTCGCAGACATTATTTTTTAAAAAGCTTTTATTTTTGTTATCTTTTTACAGTTTCCAAAATATAAGTCATTTGCCTCATATTCTTACAGAAATTGACTTTCTTTATATATGGTGTATAAATTTTCGTAAAAACACCCTTTTCTCCAGTCAAAAAAAACGGTCGTCTGCATTCGTGGTAGCCCTCTGAATTCTTCAGAGAGCGATTTTAGCCCGCCCTGTTAAGTCAACCATCACCCAGGAGCTTAGACAGACCCTATTAGACGAGTGTGTTCGAATCCCACAAGACGCCATACGCGGGCTTATCAGTAGCATGAGGAGACGGTGTCAGGACGTAATCAACGTAAAATGGACACCACACTCGATATTAACAAGATCTTAATACTTTTGGCTCACTTTAAAATTCATTCTACTTGTACCACCCATATATAAATACCTAAATAGCCACCCTTATCCAGATTACTTTTAACTAATTAATTGTTATATACACATAAAAATATATACAATCGAATAAGTGATCCCTATCAATTTTTAGTAGTATTTTTATACTTGTGCCATATATTCTGCACGTAACGTAATTACCTCTCATATTAGTTAAATGAATTGTTCTTTACTACAAACACTATTTCGAAATAACAAAACGATAATCTAACATGTATATAATAAAACAATTAAAGTACTAGTGTCATCATACTAATGACCAAAGTTATAGATTTCGTCTTGTTGTTTTTTGTTTTGTTTTTTTCCGCGAAAGAAACATTAACATATCAGTGTGGGCCACAAATATATCGAGAAATTAGAAAGTATATAGCAGATGTACTGAACTACATGTCATGGTATTTCAAATTTGTATGAAATCAGTGTTGATTATTTGTGTAGGATAATGGAGAATTGGACACCATAAACAAAGATATACTAGCAAGCAGAAGTATGCTGTGCTTTATACTGAGGTCTTGTATGGGTTTTAACTATAGGTCAACTGGATTCGAATTTTGATTTTATCTCAGATATGTTAAACTAATAGACAAATTTTTGTCTCCTCGGCACTTTTTCGGCGCCGCCCCCCCCCATCCAAAAGGTACATCAGGGGGTTGCCAGAAAGGGGATGTGCCCCCTTGTGTTTTGGGGGTTTGAAGGGGGCGGCACTCCCTCTCATCGCCAAGAAAATTTTGGACTTGTGAGAGGCTAAAAATGAACCCAGGTCGATCATAAGGTAATGTGTAACCAACGCTGAAAAGCCTTTGACTCTGAATCTATTGAGAAGTTGCAGCACTTTGAAAACAATTTTACTGAAAACTCAACGCAAAATTGTAATTCTTTGGCAATTTTGAGATGACCCCTCGTTGCCATGGTAACAGAAAATTTAAGACTGAGCATGTTGTTACAAAGGCAATGGTCCAGACAATATTTGTGCCAAGTTTGATTAGTATTGAAGAAGTTTTTATAGTTTATTAGCAATTTGAACTTGTAACAGGAGACTTTTCAATGAAATCAGCCATTTTTCACAAAATGCTCATGCAGTAATGGGTTAAAGGAGAAAAATTTCATAATACATTTTTTCTTTTATTCTAATCCTGTTATTTTTGTTGTTGTTGTTTTTGTGGGAGGGGGTGTCGTTTTATACAAAATATTTGAAATGCTTTGTGTATATTGTGAATAGTAACATATTCTGAGAAGTAAAATATGTTTAACTAATATTTAAAAAATCTTTTGATAAGGCCGGTGACCATGTTGTTGAGCATCCGTCCGTATTTATAAATTTCCGGCCTAGCTTTCGTGTAGGACAACGGCAATAATAAATCGTAAGTCTTAGAGCTTTCTACATGGCAGTGCCTTAACGATGACTAGCCGGCGTGTTTTCAGGGAACTTTTAATAAAAGAATAAACTTATACGAAAAATTTACATTATATAAAATGGTTCTGCTTCGTGCTTGGCATAAATAATAAAAAGTTGTCTAATAAAACTGTTCGGTGTCATTATGATTTGATAAACTGCTTAAAAATTCAATGGCACAATATCAAATAAATGACGTAATTCATATTGACATTTTCTTATCGGAGGAAAAACCGCCCAGTTATTTTAAAAAACGGCAAACAATCAGCCGGAAATTGAAGTATGTGTTTCATTTAACCTAACACGAATAAATGTTGCCAGGTTTTGTGCTGATTAAATCACGGTTTTAAACATTTTATAATTTCTCACTTTGATTTTCATTGGCCATCGGTCGTTCGTCGTAATCAACAATTTCTTTAACTTAAATACTTGGTGGATTTCGACCAAACTTTACAGGAATAATTCTTAGATAGCCCTGTAAAAAGTTATATAAATGGTCCTAGTCTGATGCATAAGTAGGTCACACAAGTTAAAAATAGACTTTAAAAAGGAAATCTTTAAAAGTCTTCTCAAAAACTATAATGCTAATACCTTAGATATTTTGCATAAAGCACGACCTTTTAGTCCTCTACGAAAATTATATATTAATCATGCCCCTGTTGTCAAAATTGGCTTCGCCCCAAGGTGATGCAACATAAAACAATGTCTAAGCTCTGGGGATTGTTCTTCGAGAAAAGAATATTTTAAATATCTTACCATACAACTCAATGTAAAATAAGTGACCACTTGGGCGGGCCCAATTTTGACCCCAGGGGCAAGATTTCTGTATTTCACATGCGAATGATTGATTTCCATAATCTGCTCTAGAAACAGAACTGAACTGTTCTGTTCTGTTCTATCAATGATATAACGTTTGTTTGTTGTTTGTTTGAGTTTATATATAAGTTAACTGTGTGATATATAATTGCACGAGAGTTTTCATAGTTTTTTATTCTGTTTTTCCTTTCTTTAAAACAAAGATATATTATACATTATAAAGCAACAAAAATGTTTAATTGCCAAATTCTTTAGACGCAGTGCAATCTTGTCGTCTCAAAGCATTATCTTTTTATATGCTTGTATCGCCGTTTTCCCATTTGTAAATGTTCAATTTGGTTTCAGCAATATGAAAACAGATTTAATTAATTTGTTAAAGATCCTTTCGCTGAAAATTCAAATATTAAATCGGGACAAATGTTATTAACAGGGAATTTTGAAATATGAAACAATAAGGAAAAATACCTTAGTAACTGTTCTTTCTAATCATTTTCGTGTGTGTTATCAGCTATTATCATTTTATGAAACATTTAATTGGAAACACAAAAGCATACACACAGTTATTCATACCATCCCTTAGTTATTAAATTCATAAACCGGATATTGGAACTTTCGGCCAACTTTTACAGAATCCAAAAATGTACCTGAAAATTAGTTTGTTCAATTTTGTTTGATATAGAATTAATCTTTTAGAAACAAAATTTAAGTAATACTTAATACCTTAAACAATATAATTTTCATTCGAAGTTGATACGACACAATATTGCAGCTGTTTTCAGATATGGAGAACCAGCTATGCATTGTCCAAAAACATTTCATTTGTGAAAATATTTGTGTGTGTTTTTGAACGATATAATTGTGGTGTGTTTTTTTTTTCGAAGAAAGCCCTCTTTGTGTATTCATATTTGAGCAAAATTTATTTCGACATTATCAATTTTGACAGATTCGTGATGATGAATGGACAAGATATAATATAGATTTAATATCATATATAATACAATTTAAGTAGAAGAAGAAGTTCTGATTTTTAACCTTAATCTCTGATAAGATACTTCAATAGTGGTGTTGGTGGTGTCGATTTTACTTCGGCTCACGGCAGTACACCTCATTGAATTTACCAGAGCTCAGTTCAGCCACAGCAACATTCCTGGGCAGGCTGTCAAGCACTTTACCAGTACTAGTTGCCTTCACTTTCAAATAACGTGCACATGCCAGAGCAGAGGTACAGTGTAAATGAATGTAGATAGGATTTCATGATCAATCACAACGATTTTGGTCAGCGACGTCAGGGAATCCAACTCATAGTCCAACGCTCTGCATGTTGAGCTAACCGGACGGTTATATTTTTCAATAGATATCCTTGTTTTTCGTTTTATTGAAACATTTTTAAACACAAACATCTTCATGTTTTCTAAATTTTACCTATGCTAGAAAAATGTGATAAATGAAAGATATATACTCTTTTCTTCGTAGAAAACATGAAAATGAAAACAAGTAATGGTAATGAAAATTTGGACAAAATCGTTTCTTGGGATATTTTTT